TTTCATTATTTTTTTCTCAGTAACTGGCCCATTTGAATCATCTAGTGGTGCTAAAAGCTGCCTTGGAGGCAGTGAAGTTGTTTATAAAAAATTAATCATGCATCCGCTATCTTTTAATGCTGCTAGAGATGTGCATTGTTTTTGGTTGTACCAGATATGAGATGAATTACTTTTCCTGTTGTTAACATCAAGAGGATAACCAGACTCAACAGTGGTGGAAAATACCAGTGATCTTTGCCAACTGGTCCAGAAAGTAGAAGAAACAATAATATTCAGGAAATTCCCTCAGTGCTACATGCTTTTAAAGCCTACATTTAGCAGGCTTTGGGAAGAAAAGAAACAAATATAAAAGTTCATGATCCCTATTTTTGGAAAAAATAGTTCTGACATGAACCTGCATTAAAAAAAAATGCATGTGCAGGATAATTCTGTCAATGTTAGACAAGGCATGCAGTGGGGAATGCCAGGATCTCTGCTCAAAGACACCAGTGGGTTGTACAAAAAGGTCAATTACGGCCAATTTTTCAATGACGTTGGATCTAAGGCTTCACTGATCATGTAAGACATAAAGGTCCAATCACATCAACTTATCTATTCAAAGAAACTGAAGACTCAGTAGGTGAAAAGAAGTGATTGTTAAGAAGTAAGGCAGCAATATCTCCAAAGATTTAGCAGAGTTCTTTGAATCACAAATGCCAGCTCAACAACTTCACTTTTATTGCGAGCTAATTCTGGCCAATACGTGAGTTTGAGCATTCATCGTTTACAAACACTTAACTCCGCTCCCTTCCCTCAGATTTCAGGACTGGAATTTAAACTGATGTTTTTTTCTGGAGAGTTCTTGTGCGATGCTGGAATTTTCAGACATTCAAAGATGGGTTTTGAAAGAGGGTGTACTGGGACGTAGGTACTCTACACACTGGGCAAGAAGAGTGTTTGTTTTCCATTTAAAAAGGGAAAATACTAAAAATGGGAGAAAAAATATTATGTATCTATACTCTAGTTTTCCATTTTGGGACTACTAGCTGTATTCAGGTAAAAGAATCATAGAATCCCAGACTGGTTTGGGTTGGAAGGGACCTTAAAGCTCATCCAGTTCCAACCCCCCTGCCAGCAGCAGGGACACCTTCCACTAGACCAGGTTGCTCAAAGCCTCATCCAGAGAGAAAAAAACCACCAAAAACGACTATTCTCAACCTCTAACCATACAAACTGTTCTTAAATTTGTTCATTTTCCTGTTTCTGTTTGCCTTTATCCTGTCATAGTTCATCATCGCTGACTGCAATGAAAATGTCAGTACTGGCTCAACCAAAGAAATCATTTTGCTGCAACATTCACGCCAGGTTTAAAAATAATTTCAAACTGGAAAGTATTTTGTAACTGCTGCAATAATTTGTGATATTTGGCACTCTCAATAGTTTATATTTGGTTTGTCCGAAAAAAAAAAAGCCATTCTGGAAATTAGTAGTTAGAATAAATCCTTTTATTCTAACTTTAAATGTAAATCGAGCTTCCAGCAAACAAATACTGTAGCTGACTTTCTGGCTTCTAGTGGTTTGTAATTTTCAGATTTTTCACTTGTATTATTATTCTTTTTCAATTGATTGCAACATGCTCAAGTCGACTTTCCAGTCAATTCACCCAAATTCCAACAGGAATTGGTTTATAAATTGGTTCCAACTGGAACTGGTCATTTGGAATTTCCAGCACAGGAAATTATTTTATAAGTGCCTCGATAAGTACCCTAAATTACAAACGGATGTGTCTAACATCTTAATGAGAAGAAAAGGTATGGCTCTAAATGCAAATGCTGTACTAAATAAAATAAAATAAAATAAAATAAAACAACCTACACGATCGGGCAGAAACGTAAGGGCATGGCAACTTTTTTTTGTCCCCTACTTAACATCAAATGACAGCAGAGTGCAACTTCAGTGTAACCACATTACATCTGCTAAATTAAAGTGATTTTTTGTTTGTTTGTTTTTCCTAGCTACGTTATGGCAAGTTATCAACTGATGGATACTATTTTTCCCCAGGTTCTTGAACTCAAAGCCTATGTCGTGAATCATGGCTGTATCCTCCAGGGGATCCTCGGGTCCGATGGGGTTTGTAAGTGTCCTGGTACGAGTCAGAGTATTCTTCTTCCACTAGAGGATAGTGATCTCGGCTGTGTTGGGAACTGGAAGACAAGCGGGTCCAAAAAACCCTTTCATTGTGATAATTTTCATCTGAGGTCATTAGACTTCGTCGCTCGATTGGAGAGTTCTCTGCAGAATGGCTGCTGTGCCTCATACGCTGGCTCTACGAGTGCCAAAGAATCCAAGCATTAATACAGGCAAACAGTGGGGTTTTTTTTTGACGTTTTAACTTGTTTTGAGACTTATTCTGAGGTCTTTCAGAATCCATCCACTTTTCTGTTATTCATTTTAATTTAAAATCTGTATGCTACAGGAATGGGTGACAACAGTCTGGTTCCTAGAGCTGAAAGCAGACCAAACGCAGTATTACAACGTGGACCTTACGGTATTCACCCTGTGAAATTATTACAGGCCATTTAGCATGAAAAGTGAGCTGATGTAGTCAGCATTTATCACTTTTCTCTGATCATGAACGTAACATTCATGCTTCTATCCTGCTTAAAAAATTTTGAGCTTTGATTTATGTGGTTTTAGAGAACATCTGAAGATGTTTGTTGTTGGTTTTGGTTTTTTTTCAAAGGTGCAGCTCCGAGCCCTATTTAAAAACCTTCATATGACCAAACAAATGATGGACTGCTAACCAGGCAGCTAAGGGGTGGCTAAAATTAATAGGTATTAATAAATTCTTTCAACTAAAACATAGTAAATATTTTAAATGTTGTTAGAAACTCCTTTTCTAATTTATTAAAAGGTTTAGCCTTTGCTATCCACACTTTCCTATAATGATAATGTGCTACATTTGTCACATGAACAAAATTTGTTTGTATTTCTTGCCAGTAAACTGGCACAATGAAAAAATAGCCTAAAAATATATATATTTTGTTTGCTGTCATCCCACATTAACCCTCACTGCTGCCACAACGGCTGCTCTCTTGTTCCCTCAGGTTCCCGCACCCGGACAGCATCGACTGCTCCTCTCTGTTCTGAGATCCTCTCTGCGCTACAAAACCTCCCTCCTATTGCTCCACCTGGCAATGGTTGAGCTGCATAACTGATACCAAGAGGCTGGTCTGCCCAGGGAAGGAGCTGTGCAGATGGCTGGGTGCTCATTTACAGCACAGCACGTACCATGTCCCGTCTCTTTCTGCGGATCGATGCTACCAAGGTTACTCGCTGAGAGATTCCACGTAAGGAGCCGGCACGGAAAAGGTGCCCTTCTGCAAATTCACACACTCGGGCTGCTGGGCAGCAACTTCTGCCACGTTATCCCTGAGTTTTCCTTAGAGCAGCATGTTTTAGTAGTAATTATATGTCCAAACCCACATATTCCCTTGACAAATTATACTTCTCATATTTATTTGACCCAGGCATGCAATTTTGATCTATAATCACCTAATCAACTGCAATTTTAACTTTCTGTGCTCACACCTTTTATCTTCCCTGTAGTAATTTACCTCTCTGGCTGCGACCTGCTGCTTTCTAGAACCCTTCCTTGACTGTGTAGTCATTCTAAATCCCACCATTCACCTCCCGAGAGGTGCAAGCGCGGCAACTAACTGCTGTGGGTACGCGCTGCTCTTATGCCCCAGATCACTTTTGATCCTGCAGAGCCATAGGAACAATAAGCTGCGTTACATTTTCTGCAGTAATGGACTTAAAATGCAAATCCCCTGGAGTCTAAGAAACATATATCTCCAAAACTTGAACTAGATTTGAGCCCATTCGCTGAAATTAGACTGAACTATGTAGGTTTAGAGCTAATGAGGGATTAACAGCAAAAGCAAGCGACTGGCCCCTGGGAATCAGCAATGATTAAATCTGCTTTTCCCATCGAGGGCTGCAAACACACACACAGCTCAATATTGACATTTCCTTTTAGGCAAGGTCATGAGCAAGGACCAAATGACCACTGGCTCTGGCAGCTGTGAGGGGACACAGCTGGAGCATAGTCATACCTCTCTTTTACTCTCACTCTTCTGTATCTATGACATTTAACTGCACCCTGATGACCTTCACGAAGCCCAAAGACTGAAGTTAAATCAGAAGTTTCAATTCGCAGTAAACTAAAGTCCAAGCTACAATCAGGTGAAACAGGGACACTCCTAAATCCCAACGAGGTGGAGTGTGAAGAGATTGCCCCAGCAGATCTGTATCATTCTCGAGTGTGACTGTTTCACCAGGCTCTGGGCTTTTGGTATTCCCCAAGGTACCAGGCGAGAAGGAGGTCATAAGAAGTATAAAATCTTAATATATCATAAGCACCTAAGCTAGTTTAATTCCTAGGATTTGCTTTATAATTACCATACCACATCACTGCAGTTAAAACTGATGCAAATCCTCCCAAAGGCTTGAATTAGTGTAAAACCTTTAGGTGGATAAGCACTTCAGATGGTGGAAGTCTCTACTGCGAGATAACCACATAAAAAAACCACCATTAAATGGGCCTGAACACTTCAGTGGCACTGAAAGCCAAATCCTGCAGTCTCTAGTTGGGCATCATTCACTCAGGGAGAAATTGACCCCTCTGCAGAGAACTAGCACCATTCAAGTCCCACCTAAGCCTTCACAAGTAGGGTGAAGTGGGGATTAAGTGATGCATACCTTCAGCCAGCCCACTGCACAGGGGTGATTTTCATCTTCAGTGTGAGTTTTCCCTAAGTAAATGGAGCAACATTTCACAGTTACTGCTGGTGTCCATTGATCAGAGAGAAATAAATGCCTGCAAAAAATTCTGTGGATACACCCAGTTTTCAAAATGAAACTGAAAGAGGTGAAAGTTCTGCAGATGGTATTTTATTGTCATGAAGGGATGGGGAAACTGAAATTTTAAGGCAAGTGAAAAATGGAAACAACAGTTTACATGTGCATGTTATCAGTGAACAGAACAGAGCTTGTGCATTCAGCCAGTCAGGAGACAGTGACTTACTGATCCTAATAAAATCAAGCATTAGGAATGTGAGGATCGAGTATCCGTGAAGTGCAAGTCACTCACAGAAAAGACAGCTTTACGTTAACTGAAAACACTGAACAACGCATCATTTCCTTCAACACTGTTACCTGCTTCCAGATACTCTACAAGCAGAACAGAGGTTAAATCTGTCAGGTGAATTATTCATTACATGTCATCTGCTCAACTCGAACTTTCGACATACATCAGAAAGCGCACCGCTCCTACAAAGTCACACCCATACAGAACTTGTGGAACTTTCAGACTCAAAAGTTCGCTGCAGTCCTGATCTTCTCAAGCATTCATAACTACGAATCAAAAACATTTGCCATTTTCAAACTTAGTAAAGCACGTACTTCTCATTAAGGACTATTTACATGCCACGTTTGAAGTTTCAAAGTTCAGCCGTTTTTGAGCTATCCCTGTGGAAAAAAATGGTCAGAATTTTTTTTCAATGGGTAAAAAAAAAATAAAATAAAATAAAATAAATAAATGTATTTTATTCACACTCAAAGAACTCAAAAAGGTGAAGGCATTTTGCTGATACAAGAGACAAGCATGGAAGTTTTTCACCCAGAAGTGAATGTTTGGTGAAGTTATGAGGGTAGAAATGGAAGGGATCATTACAGAGGCTGTTCTGCATAAATACAGTAACTGGTGGCTCAACTGCAGTGACACACTGGACAGGCTTATTCTCAATCTGACAGGGTCTCATCTGCAATGTCATTTTTTCCAGATTAAGAAACAAAAAAGGCCGTTTTCTAAGATGGCTACAATACCACTTGACAGAGTGTCATTTAACTTTTCCTCAACAACTCACTCCTTGCCAGAAAATGTATGGCCATTTTATTTCCCATTAAAGCAAGAGCAGTCACGGTGCTTCAGCACTCGGCTGCCTGACTGCTCCTTCACTGACTATGGGCTTTAGCTTGCCTTCTTACTGCTGGCAGTGGCCAAACAGTGAATAGTAACTAATGAAGTAAATATAAATTATGCTATGTAGAAAATATTACACTATTTTCCCAAAGATTAAAAAAAAACTCAACAAAAACCCACCTGATCTGCAGTGGTGTTTGGGGCTGAAATGGGTTTTCATACCTGTAATCCAGAGATTGCAGCGGGATATGGTGAAAGTGCAGTGGATCCTAAATTTCGCCCCAGGAGAGGAGTCATGGGTGTGCTACTGGTGGTGTGAGTAGCACGCCAGTATGCCTCCAGATATTCTGCCAAGTGTTCGCAAGCATCTTCAAGCTGATTTTCATCCAAAATTACATCAAACATTTCCTGATCACAACAACAAAGTTGGGTTCGTTACAATGATACGGATGACAAGAAAGAGATGTTAAACAATCCTCATCAGGCTAATCCTTTAAAATTCAGTAAATAACAAGCAGAGCATGGGGTTGCAAAGGGAAATGACTACAAAGTGATGAAAAGCCAAAGCCACTGCATCCTTTCAGCGAGGTTCATGAGACGATGCGTGGGCCCTACCATGCTCAAAGGCACAGGACTCTTTTAATGAAGTCATTTTGCCCCACGATAGGACCTGAAGCTAGATGTCAGAGTAACACAGGGGTGCTCTGCACTGGTTTCGGACCCAAGGACTTGCGTATACTTCTCCCATCCCAACTGTGAACACATTTCCAGCATGAACAATGCCCTTAAAACCATTTCCACTTCAGTTGAACACAGCATGCAGTTCTGGTAGCACCTCTACTTCTGCTTGGGCAAGGATATTGCTGGACATCCAGCTGTTCAAGTTCTTCCAGCTGGGAATTCTTCGGGGACTCTCTCCATGAGCTGCTTTTCAACTACATTCATTTAAGCCTATCTGGATAGTCTTACCTAACTGTTCTCAAATCTGCAAGACCACACAGGTGTCATCTTTTTCCCTACTATTCCATGTACCAGGGGACAGTACCTGAGCATTAGAGCAAGTCCTGGTACTTGCCTCCGACCTCCCCACCCAGCAATCCAAAGAGAGGGTATTTACCAGTGAACGTCGAGGGAACTCAAAGCCACGTGGCTTCTGTGCTACCCAAGAAGTCAAAGTGACACTCTGCAGACAATGTTTTTAGATTATCAGCAAGACAAGTGCTGATAATAAATCATCATGAACTGAGTCCCTCAAGAGAAAACATATTTTCAGCAGTGAAATTTTGTACCTCATCTTTAATCTTTAACCCATGGCTTAGCGGGAAAAACTATTGTGAAAATAGCACAGGAAATGAGAAATAAGTGCAGGTGTTGCCGGCGTTAAAGAGCAACTGACACAAACCACAGGCTGCTTCTCCTCCATGCACATTTGGAGATCTATCCAGCATACACAGAGCTGACATCTCTACAACAAGATCTCAAACTGCACGATGAATTTATCGTAAACCTTGATCACGCATCTACCTTCTACCCAAAAGTCTGGTCCAGAATTTAACACTAAAGCCATTTTATTTATTTTTTAAATTTATTCTCTCTTATCACAGAATCCCAGACTGGTTTGGGTTGGAAGGGACCTTAAAGCTCATCCAGTCCCAACCTCACCCTGCCATCAGCAGGGACACCTTCCACTAGACCAGGTTGCTCAAAGCCTCATCCAACCTGGCCGAGAACACTTCCAGGGAGGAGCAGCCACAGCTTCTCTGGCCAACCTGTTCCATTGTCTGACCACCCTCACAGTGAAGAACTTCTTCCTAATATCTCATCTAAACCTCCTCTCTTTCAGATTAAACCCATTTCCCCTTGTTTTGTCATTAACTGCCCTTATGAAAAGTCCCTCCCCAGCCTTCCTGGAGCCCCTTCAGGTACTGGGAGGCCGCTAGAAGGTCTCCCCGGAGCCTTCTCTTCTCCAGGCTGAACAGCCCCAACTCTCTCAGCCTGTCCTCACAGCAGAGCTGCTCCAGCACTCGCATCATCCTCGTGGCCTCCTCTGGACTTGTTCTAACTGCTAGAACATTTCTCTATCAGCATGATAGAGAAATGTTTCCTCCTCTGCCAGTAAGTATGGAGTTTTCTTCAAATAAGAGTACTCCTAGCACTACATCCTTTGGTCAAATTCAGTGTTTATTGCTGCTTGGTTTGCTATTTATTTACACCCTTTACACCCTCCTTTGCTATTTAAACACTAAATATTCCGTTATATCACTCACATCATCACTTGTGGAAGAAGTCAGTAATTCAAATGTAGTTAGGTTGAGAAATAGAAGAATGTGGTTTGCTTACATATAATTGGCTTTGGAAAATACCGAAATGAAAATATTACATTTGGAACATGAATTGTGTTTTCTTAAATAAAGAATGAATATCGTCATTTTTTTGGTCTGAGACTAGCAAGCATTTTTCCAGCGCTGCTCATTCTTTGCATAGCTGGCCACAGATTTGGGGGCAACTCCAGCTGTCTGTGCAAAACTGTGCAGGTTGCAAGGTAATTCTGCCTCAAGGCACATTTTCAGCTGTCTGGGGATTTAGCAGCATGCAGGTTAATGAATAATCTTCCAACACCCTCCA